GTATATATTTAGTTACTTATCATCTTTTTCCCTCTTTAATAGTGTAAATAGTTTGTTCTGAACATTTGCAATTATTTTATTGCATGATAAATCTAATATATTGCATAATAAATGTAAATATAGAACAAAATATTGTTCTATATGCAGCATAATGTAATATGGAGCAAAGTAATATAATAATGTAAAAAATGAGAGAATAAAAAGAATTTTCTATATTATTAATTATATTAATGTACATATGATTTAATATTATATATTGACATTCGTAGTCAAACAAATATAACGAAAAAAAAGAACTTAATTTAAAAAACTTAATTAAAAATTTACATAACATTGAGATAAAACAATTTCAAAATAATGGAACACGGAAATCCATCTGGAATTTTTTTTGATTCAGAGGATGTCGTAAATATTTTTGTAACAAATATTATCCTGCAATTATATTAATTGATTAATATTATAATCTTATATTAACACATTCGTAGTTTCTGATGTAATTTCAACTATGTATATCTTTTTAACAATTTACAATGGATTGTCTATATATAATTAATATCATTATAATCAAGTTAATTACCGATAGTATAATTTTGCAATTTTAATAATGAATCAATAAGTAATATTTCTTTTTTTTTTTTTAGTAATTTTAATTTTAAAGTCTGGCAATATATGATTATAAACTTTTGAAAATTTAAAAAAAAAATCGAAAAACTACGAAAGTATTAATATAATCCCATATTAAAATTTAATTTAATTTAAGGCTGAACAATTTAGGCTGAAAAATTATAGCCTTAAGAAAATGTTAAAACAGTTGCACCTGCAAAATAGTTGAAACTTCTTATCGATACGAGCAACAAAAATATCACGTTTTTAGAACACATTTTATCGTTATCCAATCGATCATGAATAATATTCAGATATTATTTATTCACAGGTTACAACAATCGTACAAGTTTTGAAAGAAAAAAAAAATTTGTCCATACAAATCTTCATTTATACCGTATTGTAAGAACCACCTTAATGTATATGTACATATGTATATTCGTATAAAAATTATTTGAGGAAAGAACAAGAAAATCAAGATTGAACGTACACCTCTTGATATTCCATTTTATAAAAGAGTATTTTCATTGAAACTGAAAACATTTTCACGCGGGCCAGCCGCTTCACATGTTTACATGCTATCACTAGTTTGGACTCGATACTTTCATGTAATTGTTGTTCTTTTGCTAAATTGATAAAGGAAAAATTTAGCAAGTCAAAAATTCAGAAAAAAAAAACAACAATTTTTCACATAATAAAAAGCGAAATTAATAAGAAAATTTCGTCTCGAATTAGAAATTCATTTCATGGATCGAAACTATTTCTCCAAAAATTAATAAATTTTCCCATCGTGTAAAGTTTTTCTGAATTGTTGAATTGCTCAACATCCTTTTGTGAATAATGAAAATGAATTTTGTTCTTGATAAATTTGGTCTTGAAATATTCAGATATTTCGTGACTGATTTATTTGATCGATATTTATCACTTTTCTGAAATGTAATTTCCGTCAAAATAGAATTTTGGGATTTTACAGAGAAATTGGACCAACGTGTCTTGCCGACGCGTCCCATTAATCAATGAAAACGTTGAATTTATATCCGAAATTGATGTACCAAACGGACGGACTAGAATTAGAATGCATTTCTCGAGTTTAAAAAATTAATTAGTTTAATCACTTAATGCGAGATGCACAATGCTTCGTGCAAGTGGTTAAAATTGGTAAAAAGTATGTACGCAATTGTTGCAAAGTATTGTAAATTATATAATTTTGCTTTGCAATTTCGGTATGATTGTCATTCTCGCAGGTATTTTGTATTCGTGTTCTCTTCCATCATTAACATCAATGTTTTGAAATATATATATATATATATGTCTGTACATATATGTAAAGCATTATTTATGCGCAATATAAAATATTATTTTTCGCGTGAATTAATTACATTGATCTCATCTCATGGTTCCTTTTCAAAATGTAAATTATTGCTTGTTACATGATGTAAAATTAAAATGATAATGTATTTATTACATGCAAAGATTACTGAAATTTAAAGAAATTGTACATTTTTAACATAGATATGAAACTTTCAAAATTATACGATCAAAAATTCTCTCGTCTTAACATCCATTTCTCTTTTCTCATTTACCTTATTAGAAAGCTTTATATATTTCCTCCATTCTTTCTTTTTTTATCCATTCGCACACATAGATTAGGAACGCAAAAAAGTATGAAGACTCCGTTTGGTACGTTCGTACGGATATATGTACAAATGTATGGGTTGAATATTTACAAGAAGCATGGCATCCTTATTTTATAATTATAATCCAATTTCATTTTTTTTTTCCATTCAAAAAGCAAATAATGTGTATTGATTAAGCGTATTTGCGCTGTTCGATAAACTAAAGGAGAGAGAGAAAAAAGAGGAGGTATATATAGGTAGGTACATGTATAAAATAAATTTCGCAAGGAAAAAGATTACACGAGTTTGGTTGATTCGAATCGAAAGAGGAAAAAATCGACAAAAGAGTTCGAAAGATAATAAAAAAAAAAAAAAATTGAATCGATTGAATATATGTATATAATACTATTAGTCACCAGTTGTGCTCGCTATTTTCTCGAGGTATACTGACATTTTCTCTGTTTGTTAAACGACCGAGGAAAGTTGCGTACAGAGTGGAATACAATCGTTTGAAAGAGAAATAAAATATAAAAAAATACAATCGTTTAATTTTTAATAATCGGTTAAAAATCACCAATTTGAATCGATACATTGTAAAATGATTCGTGAGACGTTGTCTCGAGGCATGAGCCGCGATTAATGATGACACCAGACCTCGGCAAGTCTCGTCTCGATGGAAGCACATAATGTATATATTTAAAAAGGGTGAAGGTTATAACGTGATATCAAGTGATTTTCATTATTTCGATCTTATTACATGCCTTGAAACAAGTTTCATTAATTAACATTTATACTTAATTGAAATTATTAAATTATCTCGCAAGTAATGCCATTTTAAAAGAATAATTTTGATAAAAATTACTTATGTGCATTTTTAATTGAATAATTACTATTTGCCAAGATAATAATTTTTTTGAATTGAGATTAATTTCTCTTGAAAAATATGAACAATAATTTAGTCGTTCTGATATTATTATCGATTTATCTTTCATAATAAAAAAGAATTCTTTGCAATTTTATATAATCATCGTAAATTAATTCTCTAATTTCAAAAGTTTAAAACTTAACTTTTAATCCTTCGCGCTTATAATTATTTTTCTAGTTTATTCAACTCTGTTTCCATTATTCTCGTTTCAATTTATTTCATTCATATCGACTTTAAAGATTAAAATTATTACTTGCGAAATGTTTCAATAATTAATACACATGTACTGTGTTCTCTCATCATTATCAAGTCGCATTATCAAACCGATACAATCATTTGATTATCGAGATCCATCTTTTCCAGCAATTCTATCCCAATCTATACACACACAGCCACGCATTTATTAAATGCAACGTCGACGATTAACGAACAAATCGGAACGTTGGTAACAACGTTTTAGAAAAATCCAGTATTTTCGAATCGAGCAACTAGCACCTTTTCGTTCCCGATCGATCGGTGCTGAACCGGGCTGAATCGTGACGAGATACGATACAACAGGCACCTAACCTATCGACAGAGGGAACGTGTCGGCGTGTAACGCGGAATCAATATGCTCGAGCAACCGTTTTAACGACCAATTGGAGCAAGTTGGAAAGTTATTGTGTATCGCGTGTTGTATGGCTTTATCCCTCGTATCACGAGACTTTAGTGTGCGGTGAAGTCGGCCGTGTTCACCGCGCCCCCACGACATCGCGTCAATCGACTTTAATACCTCGACACCATTGTACGACGTAAACCGAGCAGGCAACACTCCGCTTTCTTGTCCTCCCTCCATTGACCAATTGACTCTTCGTCCTTCCGCTTATCTGAACTCATCGGCATTTTTCCTCGGAACAAAACGACAATATCAATTTTTCGCGATCCATCACGCCTTTGCGCATAGCGCACGATATTCGAATGTGTGTGTGTACATAACGTTGATATACTCGTGAGACATCTTTGGAGGATTGATTCTAGGGGCCTAAGTAATATAAAGGTGTGCGAGAATTTGAAAATATTGGAATTTTTTTTTTTTTTGAAAATACGCTGCGATATACAAATGTATTGATTAACAGAATTCAAGTCGTGTTTCGGGACGAGCTTCGTCGAATACTCGCCAGAGGCGTGTGTGAGAAATGTCTCGAAAGTATCGTGTGACGCATAAATATTGAGATTCGCAAAATTCGAGAAAGAAAAATATTCGAGAACTCGAAAATATTGGATTAAATTCTTGAAAGTATTCTATGTATTTTGAAATGAATTTTATCGAACGTGAATTGGAAAAATTTACGAACAATCGAGTGAGTATTCGACAATTTGGTTCTTTGAATCTTAAAAATTCTGATATTTATATGTAATGCTCAAAATTTTGAACGAGTCTCAATCGAAACTTTTGTATATCGATTTTGTATATTTTGCCCACTAGAAATGACTATCCATAAATGTCTCACGAATATATGTACAAGCACATTCACGCTACAATTGTTTTTGTACACGTGTCTTTCTTTGTTTCGCTTATCGAATGAATGAATGAATGAATTAATTAATTTTCTTCTTCGTAAGATATACTTATTGTCCACGTGTTAAATTATAAACTTTCTAACTAATCGAAGATATTATTTTAAAATCAATTTGTTCCTTCGAAATAATTTTCTCTTAATTTTCTCCTTTTTTCCCCTATCATTTGCCATTATAATATTCGAATATGAATTAACGATATGATCATAAATCACAATTTTATATCTGAACACATAGTGTTACTTTATCATTTTATATACTTAATTATAAAAAGAAAAGTGATGAAATTATTATAACTCATCACAAGTTATCATTTTCATCGCGACAACGAAACGAAAGCGAAATCATTTTCTCTCGTTACTTTTTCGACAAAAATACAGAATATGCAACAAGTATTACGCTACGTTGTGTCATCGTCATAAAACAAACGAAACAGCTGTGCCAATTCGATACACATTGTCTCTCGACAACATAATAACGATAATTCAACGTAATTATCAATAAAACTGTGAAACCGTATATACTCGCTTAAACATAATTCACAGCTTTATTACGCTTATACCTAATTTATATAAAATGAGAACGGACCACCGTGTGCGATCAAATTTCGAAATATCTTATTTCCGAATAATTCATGCGAAACGACGAAGGTGAAAATGAGAGATGAAAGAAACATCGCGTTCAGACTTCGTTCTTCGTGATCTTCTTCTAAATCCTGGAATGTCGCGTGGAATGGTGTCGATTCTCACGTCAAAGGTCTCATGTTTATCGAGATCTTGGACGATTATCCCAAATCGATCAACGCAATTGATTAGCATCTATTAGGATAAGATGCTAGACTGCCGTGGGGGCTCTGAATTGTCAATGCCACTTTGCCTTCTGAGCGAATATGTCCGCTCGAAGATTTTGAGCGAAACAGATCCCCAAAATCTGGAAATAACAGTGGAAATTACACGATTAATGATACAGATAGAGAAATTTCTTTAATTGAATAGATAACACGTAATGATGGACGAAATATTAGTGCGATTAATTTGTGCTTGCGATATTTTTTTTTAGTGAAGTCACCCTCTTAATAATTTTCGAATTAATAATTTAAAGATTGGAGTTGATGGGTTAAAATGGTTATTTTTTTTTTTTTTTAATTCGAGTGGAGAAAGAAAGTTGTTGGCACAAATTAATGTGTGAAATGACTTTTTTTCTTTTCGTTGACCTCGTGCAACGATTAACGTCTATCGCATTTTCAAGCATTCCGTATATATACATGCTGAAATATGTATATAAATACGTATACGTGGTAAGCAGAATGGAATTTGTGTGGTACAATCGCGTGGAAAAATAAGTCGAGAAAGAAAACAATTTTTTCGACTTGGTTTTTGAATAAATGGAAATTAAAAATTTGCGAGATATACGTATGCAAATTTGGATAATTCTCAATTCTGAATTATTCTTCTGGAAAAATGTTATTCCACGCGTGAAAGTAAAATTTTTGAAATATTGAAATTTTGTTCTACATTTGTTACACTTTTTACTACACTTTTGCAATTATTAGAACATTCTATTAATAATTGTAATCGCTTAAGAATTAATCAAATTCATATTTATTATTTATTATTCATAAATTTTTTCAATTTCTTCCGAACGAAAAAAATATTATTCTTTTTCTTTTTTTCGATTCATCTATTCCCGTTGTAACATTTATCATTCAATCCCATTCTGTTTATTTGAATAGCACATATGCACGTCATAGTGTTTCACCATGTGTTTCATTTTTGTTTCAAAAGTATTTTTAAAATCAAAAACAAAATGGAAAACAACGGAAATTTCGATAATAAATTCGATGAGTGAACAATGAAATGAAATAGTTTGTTTAATATTCCGCTCGATAATCGTGCGAATATCGAGAAATCGAAATTTCATGTGTTCAACGAAGATTACGTAACAAGCAAAAAAGGATGTGATTTGAAAATAATAAAGTATACCTGCGCAAAGGCCGTGGCAACCGCCCCAGTTACAATCGCAAGAAGATTTCGTTCGACCCATTCCTCCCCAGCTTGAATACAACCTTTTTCATAAATCACTTTGGCAACTTCAAAGTTCTGGAAAACAAAGGCGATTGGCTACTTTCGCTTACCGTGTTGTGCTCTCGAACCTCGCGAGTGTAGTTGTTAGTCCAACACAATTTAGTTTAGAAACAGCGTGAAATTCGTTGGAAAAAAGAAAAAAGAAAAAGAAAAAAAATAAAGAAACTGTAGGCAGAATGGAAGAGGAAAGAAGTATAATCAATAAATCGATCAATTTCAAAATGGAAGTCAAATTGATCGACTCGAACTTTGTGAAAAGTTCTTAATTTTAAAATGTTAAATTAGCGTTTATGTTACTTTCTGAAATTCAAACGATTTAGTTGATAAAGTTGATTAGTTTCGGTTATTTTTCTAAATCTTAGTTTAATCTTCGATGTTACGGTAAAATTATTGATTTTTGAGACTTTGGTTTTCAGAAATTAACACTTTAGTGATAGTGACGTAGACATATTGTCTGGCCTGTTTGTTCATTTATGACCATGACTTGGTAAGTTTTACACGCTTTTCATCGTATTTGTTTTGCAATAGTGAAATGATGTATGTACACCATTCGTCTACGTCTACCTCAACTTCGCAGTTTTGTGCAACTAATGGGAAAATAATTTATTGAAAAATTCCTTTAAAAATGAAAAAAAATAAAAAAAATCTATCGATAAACGCGTCTTGTGCAATTCTCAAAATATTTGTCCAATTCTAACATCCTTTAATTTCTAATTCTAACTATCGTCTAATCTAAATCAACGAATATAACCTAAATGGAAACATGGAGGAGGAAAAGAAAAAAGTTTCTTTTTCATTTTCTTCGATAAAAAAAAAAAAATTCCAATTTACTTATCGTTCCAAACTTTTCTTATCTTAAAACGAGATCCAATTAACGTAGACTGTGTGTGGCCGCAGAGAAGTGCTCGTGAGAATGAGTAATCCAAATATTCAGAGATGGCTAGATGACTCGAAGTCACGTAGCTATCAGGTGACACGGGATCGAATGTTTGGAAGATGCGTGGGAGAATTTAGAAGTGCAATTCGATATTGCGGCCACTGAAGAGGAGGGGTTTCATATTGTTTCTAAAAAATTTGATCACAATGAGTTCAAAAGACACTCATATATATATATATATATAATATTAAAAAGTATTAATTAATTTAAATATTATATCGGTATATTTTAATTCGGCAAAATAAAGGTAAATTTTAAGTTTATATCGTTTATAATAAAAATTTTATGAGGATAGAATATGGAAAATATATGCTGCTGCGATTCATATACAAAGGTGGAAATATCTTTAGATGGACAATTATAAATACCTAACATCTATTTGATCAATGGTCTTTTACTTTTTTTATACAACCATAAATATAATCACGAATATTTTGTCTCTGAATCTCTTTTAATCTTTCCAAGCATGAAACAAATAAGCGATCGATACTCTGTTCGGATTTAAAAAATTTTTCGACTTGAAATATGAAAAAAGGGAGAGAAATTGATAAGAAAGTAGCCGGCGGTACAAGCCGTCTGTGTAAAATGTCACGTCAGTACGCAGGGTAAGTAACAAGCCCACTTTATTACAAGCCGCCTTACATCCACCTCTTAGAGTTGGGAGTAACCACGCAAAGCTTTTAACTCCCTGCTTCGACCCTGTTCTCTTTGCCCTCTTTCGCCCCCTAACTCTAACTTTCCGCCCCGTTTCCAACCGGAAACCTTTTTCGCGACTTCGCTTCTATTACGATATCGCGATGTTGCGCGGCTCCCTCATTAGCAAGGTGTTAGATGCTCTAATTACTCGAAGAGTCTTCAATCCACAAGTTTTAGCCAACATGGAAACTGCTAATTTATTCCGACAGCGTGAAAGGAATCGTTCGCGTTGTGCGAAGAATTAATTGATAAACGGTAGATTTGTTTCGTAATTTCCTCTGAGTGTCGTCCATTAATATTTTAACCGTTCGCGAACGAGCATTCCGTACTTTCGATAGATAAAATTTTCCGAAGCGAAATTATAAAGATCTAAATGTTTGTGAAAATTGTACATGCAATTTTCTGTAACTTTGATTTAGTGGTGGCACAAAAGATGTAATTATTATTCGTTTTATCGTGTTACTTATCAACGTTTTTCAGTAATTGGAAAGTGTAATTATTTTTCGTCGAGTTAATGGATTGATTAATTTTTCATTTCAAAATTATTTTAATTTATGATCGAAACATAGTGCGGCTGTATTTTTATTCTAAATTTTCAGACGCTATATTTTGCATTCTAATGAATGATAGCAATGGCACAGCAGTGAGATATTTCGTCGTTGAAAAAAGTAATTTTAGAATAATTTTAAAATAAAAATACTTAAAATTAATTTTTACCGTAAATTCATATTATTTTTATATGAATAAACTAATGGTTAACTATCAAAAAATTTAAAGCAAACTGTCCAATGTTATAGCTATTGATGCAAATCCATTTCGAGAATGGATTTTCCGCGAAAATAATAACGCCACCTGTCAAAATTCAACAGAGATGAATTAATAGTTGACAAGTGCGAGGAGATAGTCGCGGCTGAAATATTTATTCGCTTACCACTTGCATGTCGCTTACGTTTCGCCAGACTTTTATTACGTATACCGAGGAAGGAAATGTAATCTCCCCAAATGTCACGATTATACAGCAACTTCGTCATAATTTATTGTCCTGATTATCAGCCAGGAAAATCTACTGTATATACATGTATATATATATACGTATGTATCATATTTTAAGCTCATGTAAGTGGTCCATTTATCATACAGCGAGGAATATGGATATTTCACCTACGCTCCTATCCATAATGGTATATATTTTATATCATATATTAAGGGAGAGTTAAATGGATTAAACGAGTTGTGCAGTGAATGTTAAGAAACTTTCAGATAAAATTTGTTTCGTCTAAGAAAACTAAAAAAAAGATTATTTCAAGTACGTATATTGTTTAGAAATTTATTCGTAATATTAAATTGACGAAATTGCTCATTCTGGGATAAATACAAAGTAAAACTTTCATATCCTGTGTTGTCTACTCTCGTGGTATTCCGTATCTCCCCAAAGATCCACCTCGAATTTTTTCCAAACTTTGAAAAATTCTAAAAATATTCTCGCTTTTCGTTTACTTTTGTATATCTTTAAAAATGCTTTTTTTTTTTATTAACAATCAAGTTAAAATAAAACAATCTTTTTGTTCGTATCGTATGTCATGATCATATATCATTAGAGCTGAAATATAATACTTAACAATACTGCAAAATTGATTATATCTGTGTAATCAATTATTATATAATATATCACGAGCATTGTAATTTACCAGATTGGCAATAATATCGCAGATGAAACATTAAATTCCAATTTATACTTACCGCTCTAACCTATGATATATGAACTATAAACATGGATCGTTTACCAATTTGTCCACGTGCTTATTAAAATTTTCAATTACTCCTACGTACTTACTTGCTTTTAACGTAGCCACGTGAATAATAATAGAACGTCTACCCTTTTTTTTTTTAACGTGCGCCTAGTCATACACGTGTTGTTAACACAGCGGGGATATATCATTAAATAATGTGCTCTAAGCAAATGAAATAAAAGATGCGGGTAAATAATTGGAAATACTTAAAACATGGTACACTTTACATTTATCATGCGACACCATGTCTGCAATTCGTGTTATTTATCGACTAAGATACACATCTTTTGAACAGTTGAAACTTTCTCCCAATTCTTTTGATCAAAGTTGTTTTGTTTTGAAATTTTCTCACGATTTTTCATTATCATTTAAAATAAATATAATTCAGAAAGTTTAACGAAAATTATCAGTCACGTTAAGAGAAAGTTCGAACTCTCACGTAGCACGATCAAAAGTACGTATTTCAATATTGTATTGTACCTGTAAAACCATAGTGCTGACAACAGTACCAGCGACAGGTACGAGATTCAATTCTAGCCATTCTTCGCCTGCTCTTAGACAGCCTCTCTCGTATATACTCCTCTCCCCAGTCTGCGTTTACCAGGGTTATATGAATAAACAGAATGATTGAAAAGAAACACACGCTACAAATGTCATTTGCCTTTAGAAGTATTACTTTATTTCGTGCCTGCGGCATGCTAAATAACAAGTATCGACACCCAACTTTTGTAATACTGTGTCACCACTAGCTATTTTATCCTTTCTATCTTTCACTCTCTCACGTGTCACGTTTGCCAACGTAATACCTACTTATCGGTGAATTATATGCTGGCAACCACAACTATTCCAATAGTGGAGAAAATTTAGAACTACTTGGATACAGGGTGGAGAGGATTAAGCGTTACAACGTGTTTGAGCCCCGAATTGAACGGGGACGAGACAGATGGGGAGAATTTAAAAATTTAAACGGGATGAAAAGGGTGGAGACAGAAAATTTTGTAACGAATCAGGAGGAATTTTTCCTTTTTTTTTTTTTCAAATGGAAAACTGTCGCGAATAAAACGTCTTTTAAAAACTTGTCTCTGTTCTGCACAGTTGATTGCAGAGGATACGAAAGGTAAAAGAATTCACATTGAATTTTATCTTTTTCATATCCTCTTACGTTTCACTATAATTCTATAATTATAATGAAATAGGAAGATTTAAAAGAAAAAGAAAAATATGGATTAGTTTTAAAGAAAAGAGTATGTAGTACTATATTTGCTCCATCCTGTATACGGCGAGTACAGCTACTAATTTAAGATACACTTTGTATAATAAATTTATTTCTCAGAAATTAATTATTGCGCTATATTATTAAGATTTTAGAATGCAAAGCGTAAATAATAGCGGATACTATTTTCACTTTAACCAATATCTATACTCGAAGTCATAAATTAACGAATGTTAATAGTAAATAAAGTATTTGATGTAAGATGTATAATAATAATAATAATAATAATAATAATAATAATAATAATAATAATAATAATAAAAAAGAAAGCAGAGAAATGAAAAATGATTTGAGAAGAATCGCAGAAAATGGCGAATAAAATGAAAATGAAACGTCGTTTTGAAAAAATAAACGAATGGAATAATGGTGCGATCAATGCGATAAATTGAAGAAAAATAATGTTGCAAACACGAGGACGAGAACGACGAGAGGACGACGTAAGAGCTTACTTAGCACAAATATTACGTTTAGCCTTAAATATTACGTGGAAATTATTTGAAAAAAAATTACTCACGTAGCTAGGCTTCCTAACGTCGTAGCCGCATTGTTTATTTTTGATAATCTCCTGAAAATGTTAAAGAAAAGAGAAAAAAAGGTATTACTTAAATTATTTTCACTTTTCAAAAAAATATTGAAATTGAATTATATATAAGATTATATATTCAGAGAAACAAAAAGGGGGGAAAAAAGTTATAGAATACTTTTTATATGAAATGGAAAGAGCGGAAATTACATTTGGTTTTCGTTTACAACAGCTAAAAGGCACGCCGCACGCTTCTCTCGAGCCAATGTCGCTCGATGAACAATTGAAGTAATTGTTGCGATCCCAGTCTTTAGGGCCCTCGATGCCGCAACACTGTAACTGTGAAATGGATAAAAAGTGTATTATATCGTACTTTCATCGAAATCGATTTTCGCGCGGCCGATAAATTTATTTTCAAAATAAAAAAGGAGAGAAGAGGATGAAGCATGACGCCATTGATACCGATATAATTTAGATATAATAATTTCGAGTTACGAAGTTCGTTAAAAAGAAGAAGGAAGAAGAAGTTTCTTAACGACTGTTCGTAAAAGCTATATATATAAAATACCAGATATCTTCTTCTGTTCTCGTAAAAAAAAAACTGGCGGCTTTAAAAAGTTTTTGATGGCATCAATTTGCCATCCCTTTTTTATTTTTTCTTTCTTTCTTAAAAAAAAAAAAAAATAATCCTCCCTTAACATTGTAATATCCTGCGATTTGCAAAGCAATCGACGTCACAGATTTTAAATCTATTTCAATTTAATATAATTGAATCATAATTATTAATAACGTTAGCTTGAAAAATAGAAGATCTTTTTTATCCTTCTTCGATTTCTATCGTCAGAAAATCAAAGTATCTCATTGATTCGTATAGAAATGCAAGCGCAGCTGGAATAGCGATGGTGGTAATGATGTTGCAAGGGTTTGAATCAACGTAGGATAAAGAGGATTGCAGTTTCACTATTGACAGTATTGCCGGAATTGTGGTGGCGTGCCGGCGTTTCCATTGAAATCTCGCAAACCACAATTGATTGGCAAACCATTAATTATTGAGTACCGCGGCAAGACTTTAGCTTGGATATTTTTAACGTCACAATTTTCAGTGATTTCTATTTTATTTGATTAGATTAATGGAACGAGATTCGATTCCAATGTAAATGTTAACATACTTAAAATACATTTCTTGTATCTGCACTTCTTTTACAAAATACCGTATAAGATGTGAAATGTGTCATTTATAAATTAGAACAGCAATGAGATTTATACTTGTCGAGTAAACCGTTTTCTTAAAATATATATTTTGAGAGGGATGGCAACGATAAATCCATAAAGCTGACAGGTGTAGCAGAATTTGTAATTGTAACTTTAAAACCATGCTCGAAACTATTCTAATCCCTTTGGAAGAACATTGTTAACAGATCTAAAAGCTTTATTACCATACACGTACAGTTAAAATTAAGCAAATAATATAAGCTTTCTTTATATAGCACGCAAATCGTTATCTACTTTAACGCAAAAATTCTTTCATATTTATTATTTCATTTTTAAAAAATTGATTATAATTTTAATTATTCAATGCATTTTTATTTAGAGGCAAGTGTTTTATAATTCGATTTTTTGAATTTTATTAAAGAGAAAGAATAGGAAATTATAATAATATATTATACGTATTAATCTTTTAAATCATTCTTATATGTAAAAAAAAGTGTTTACACACATTTTTCTTTCATATTGATAAAGATATCATACGTACCCAATCCTCTTGAATCCAATCGATGAGATTCTGTTGATCAGGATCTTCTCTATAATGAATGATAAAAGCTTGGAACCCACCAGTCGCTTGTGACTTTATCTATACGTCAAATCAGTATATTTAAATTTTAATTTAGTAACAGATTACTTGATAACGAGTCATTCATTCATTCGTAAGGAAATATGAGATGCAAAATACATGTGTATGAGAATTTAGATAAATATTTAACGAAACTTACCCAGTCTTTAAAGATAAAGCCTAATATACCAGCTGCCATCTCCATTAACAACAGTAACGCCAGAAATATCGCATACTGAAAGGAAGTTGTATAAAATTATAATTCCTTTTGTTATATGTTAGATTTTAATTCACAAACATTGCAATAAGTATATGACAATCATTCTCATATTAAAAATGTTATATGTACATACAGATTAAAAACAAGTTTGATGAGCATTATAAATCACTTACATTGTTATAAACAATTTAAACCTACAAAAGATTTTTCTTTCCCTCAAATTTTTTAATTCGCAAAGAATAATTTTTACAAACATTATTAATTTCATTTAATTTTACTCTTTGTCCGAGAAGCGACAAAATACAATGTAGGCACTTGAGAAAACTTGAAAGCCGATTTTCTACTCTCGTAGTAACAAAGGGAGCAATTTAAGTTTTTTCCCCCTTTTTTAACGAAACTTTGCCAGTTTGTAAAACTCTTAAACCCACTTCTTCTACACTATCTTTTCGTCGCAGATGACTAATAGTTTATATATAAACCAATAAAAAATTAAATTTAAATCATGATTTACACTACTATCCTACTATAATTATAACTATAAAAAGAAAATTAAACACTAAATAATGAGTAACTATAAATACTAAATTGACAGATATACTTATATTTCTTATCTTTATTTATATTCATTTTATATTATATTGTAAATTTTCAAAATTAAACATATAATAGTTACAAATAATAATTATTATTAATTTTTCACAATTTTCACTGATGATGTAACAAAAATTTACGTAGAAATCGTACCTTAAATTAATGTAAATAATATGATTCATCTTAGAAAAAAAAGAAAAGTATCTGTGCTTGATGCTCTTTTAATTAAGTTATGTAATTCACAAATATTTTATTATACGTTTAAATGCTTACCGTAGCTAGGAGGCACGTATTTTCCCTGAGTGCACCGACACATCCCGTAAATCCAATTATAAATGTCACTGTGCCTGTAAATAGGAAACAAAAATCTATATTTAAAATGTATATTTTAAATTGCACGTTGATATTTCACCACCACGAATCCTAATGTAAAAATTATATCGGATAAAAGAGATTGGTTTGGGAAATGATTTTGCACAATTTTTGTGCGAATGACATTCTTTCAAATATTCTTCCATTCGCTAAAATAAATAAACTTTCCTTGTTACATAGAGAAAAGCCGTTTTAATCTTTTAAGTTCAACCTGTTGAAAGCGGTGATTACATTGCGCCCAATCATAACCTTCATAGTAATAATTTGTTTATTTAACTCTCTTCTTTTGAAATTAATTGAATTGCTTTAAATTGTGTGACTCGTTGTTTTATATTATCAAGGAAAAAGTGCAAGTTTATAATTAACAATAAAAAAAAAGGAAAAAATTATAGGAAAGATACGATACTTTTCTCCAATAGACGAAAAGAATATTTCAATTTTTCAATTCTATTTCATTCTATAAAGAAGAAAGAATAATTTTGAAAAAATAATTTAAAAATAACGAAAATAATAATCTATATAAGAATTATATAATTATTGATATCAAACAATTATTAAAAATTATTTAAAATTTTAAATGTATAATTTTGCAATTCTAATGATTTCTCTATAATTGAATTAATTACAAATATACATTCGTTGAAAAGTTATATAGCATATTTGATGACCGTAAAAATAAGTACTCTTCCAGTGCAACCTTGATGATTCTTTTCTTGGACGGGATGGGGAGATAGTAAACTAGGAAATTTCCCCCAGGCCTGATTGTTCGGTCAGTAGGATTAAATTTTGCGGCACATTTTCAAACTCACGAGAGCGAGACAACGTGCGAAAACTTTATTTCGATTAAATTATTCCAATTTTTCTCATGAGAATGAACTTTTGTGCACGCGATAAAGGAAAATCTTGTATCTTAACGTAGTTTTCGTAATTGCACCACTTACTAATTAACGAAGTTACTTCATGAAGAAAGACTCTTGGAAATTGATAAAGTTATCTTTTACGATGCTTTCTCGTTTAAAAATTTCTCTTTTGTTAATTAGAATCAAATAGATAATTTTTATTTTTAAAAATAAAGAAACTCCATTCATCATATTGTCCATTGCTTCGATCCAAAATTAGAACCTTTTTAAAATTAAATTATCACTAAAAGATAATTTCTGTAAAGAGAAAATAATCTTGCCAAACTTTACCAAAAACAAACTAATTCAATATCTATAATTGGATAAAATCCAACAAATACATTGTAATACATTGAAAAAGAAGATTGTTTATTATGAAAATTGTGGAACGAAACTAATTTTCAGCGAATCGTATCGACAATAATTAAAAAGAGTACGACTACATTACAAAAAAAAAAAAAGAATACCAGGAAAGAAGATCCATCCTTTTCATAGATTAAATATCTAAAATAAACACCGTGAAACGAGTTACTGCGCTCTCTGTACGACGAATGGAACGGAACAATGATCATCCTTAAATCGGATTTTACTTTTTTTTTTCAAAGTCGGCCGTCAGCCTTTCTGCTTGATTTTTGTCCTTTCGAAATCAGTGGACCAGATCGCGAGGAAATTCGATTTAGTCTGTTACGATTCCAGGAAACTGATCTCCGCCAGAATGTTTGAATTACTTGTAGGACATTCGTGAATTCTCACCATTATGCTCGGCTACATCGCGGTTAACCGATCACGAGTAGCTTTCTACCTTCTATGCTGGAATTCCTCTCTCTGTACATCCCTGATAATCCGACTTACAGCGCTTTGTTGAGCCTCGAATGGCGGAAAATCAGTTGGTCAACTATTACGTCGTACAACATGTTCCCTTTTCAGTATGCGACAACAAAGTGCTAGTAATAATAATATAGCTAGTTTAATTCTTGGATTTGTGGACAAATTTATATTTTTCGAAGTAATGTATTTCATCGAAAATTATTAATTGAAATTTCAATTATTAAACATTGTTGTTTTTATGTGCGTAGATGAAATATCGATTAATAATATGTTATAGAAGAATAATTTAACACTTGTTATAGTTTCACTCGAAATACAATTTGAAAATTCATTATAAAAATAAATGAGATTTATACATAATCTTTCTGAATTTAAATTTTCCGCGGAATTATTATTATTTTTAATGCCAAAGTAAATAAGTAAAATTTAATGGAATTTATTAATGATTTTATACCTCGTTTCAACGTTATTTTGTAGAAAGGGATATGTATGCAAACTTGAACATAACAAAATACGCTGGATGTGAGTGTCATTTGCATGCAAAACCGAATATGCATAATCCTTGACCACTTTTTGGATGGTAAGGTGTCCATATGGTCCAAGTATCATATGGTACCTGTTCATATTCTGTGACATATGAACAGGTGCAAGAAGAACAAAAGTTGACGAACGAATTATTAAATTTTGATTACATACGCATATTATAAATTATTGATTATTCAAAAAACGATATTTTTCACTCGTGTCGAAAGTAAACACAAAAAACTATTATTTATTGTTAGAAAAAAATCAACCTCTCTTAATACCTATAAAGAATTTTTAATCAAAAATCATCTACCTTTTTTTCTTATCAATGATGCAATTTGATAATTATATAAATAATATAAATTTAAATATTTTTTTTCATAAGTTTTGTTTTGAAGATGTTAGAGATACAAATATATTCATTTGCTGCAACAATGATACAATTTGAAAATTACAATATTAGTAAAAATAATGTTAAATGTTTTGTTATAAGAAAATTGATTAAGATTGATCAAAATGTCAAATACAGAAATTTTTTTGTATCCATAATTTATTTATTCGTTGTAAATTTTAAATTGTATCATTATAACAAAAGTATTCCATTTTTAAATATTATATGGATATTTTTTTCATTTTACTTTTATTATATTCTCCTTTCTTTTTAATCATTAACAAATGTACATCATTTATGCACAATAAACGTTGTATTTCTGAATAGACTATCACTATCAATATATTCATCAGTTTCTCTATTGAAATTTTAAAACGTTGGATAAATTTTGTATGCAGTTTACTCAGACTTTTTCAACTGACTTGAAGTATAAAAATCTTCTTTTTTAATTCCGTATGTGATAGAATCTTCGTGCATCCCAATTACAACTGACCTGCTTTAAAGATCAGACCGTCGCACCCTTTTTGATGCTCGTCACGAGCACTTATCTACCTACGCTACCTCCATCCTTCCATTTAAGAGTTTGTACAGTTAAAAGTTTGTGTAAGAATTAAACGAACCAATCATCAGTTCCTATTTTTCTTGTTTGAAGAAGAATCATTAAAACGAATCCTTGTCCTACTCTGGCTTTCCATCATTGAAAAATTGAAACTGCAATTTTTGCAAAGATAAAACACAATAATATTATTATTAGTTCAATAACATCATATTATTACTTTATAAAATCTTATGAATATATTTGTAAACTTATTACATCATATAATAAAAATTCAATCATCAAATATTAATTTATTCCAAGATTGCGACACAATCGATCGTTACTTTGCATCTTAGCAAGGAAGGAAGAAAAAAAAAAATCCGCTGAATTATGATGCTACAAAGATGAAACGGACTTTTAATTGAACGAAATATCTTTTCATTCTTAAATTTTTAACGATAGCTTCAACAGTATTTATCTCTAATCGAAGACACGAGAATATTACTTCGAAATTTCATCGATAAGACTAAAGGCCACTTTGACACGTTCAGATATCTTTATTCGCATAGATCAACATGTTTTAAATGGATCAAAAATTTTAAATGGAAGAGAAAACTAATATAAATTGCTACTCACCGACTAGAATGAGGATAAATGCTGGATCGAGTGCTACATTCGTGAGCCTAGACAAATTGTTGAATGTGTCTTTTTCGGTCCATGCCCATACACCTACAGCCATAATACCCAAACCCAGCCACTGAAACAAAAGAAAAAGAAAAAGGATTTAAAATGAATAGTTACATCATAAACATTTAATTAAAAATCTTAAATGATTTTTTTTTCTTCATTTTCCTTGATATTATTAATTAACAATATAGAACAACTGTATTAGGGAATAAAATAACTGAAATAGTTTTTATTAAAAATTCAATTTTAAGCATGAGAAGGGAAGAAGCTTATTTGCCTGTTATTAAAGAGGATTAAAAGTTATTGAGAAATATTGCTCCAGGAGTTCAAGCATGTCTGCTTCGTTCTCGGTTAATTCCACTAGGTGAGAAATATGTAGATTTCCTAAGCCGACGATTCACCGAAATGAATGTACTCTTAGGAGAACATCACCTCTGGGGGAAAGTCTCTCTCTAGCGATCTCTGGCTAAGCTTCTCCACAATTTCCGTTATACTCGGCCATACGTGAACTTAATATCTGCCCACTCGATACGAACGAACGATTCTTCTATAATTAAAATTTTTGCAAATTTTTATATAGCTAATAAATACGTCGTATTATGAAAATCATTAAATCACATCTCTATGTACTTTTACGTAAAGCAATGGATCATTGCTTCATTCACATAAAGTCACAGATGAAGCTTTGAGTTTTCATTTGAAAAATGCGAGAAGGAAGTAAATGTTTCGTTGTCAAGAAAACACGTCTTCAAGTCTAATTTTTTTGTTTCATTCCGACGTCTCGATCCGTTGTCGAGATATAAAGATTCAAAGTTTCCATAACGCTTAACGAGACAATGCAGAGATTATGAATGGATCCAGATTTTTTTTAAAAATGCTACGTCCTTCTAAGAAATGGCTATCACATTGCTTTTTCCAGACTTTAATTCTTTTTTTTTTTTTTTTTTTAATCACTTGTCTGGAGCTTCGAACAAGTGCGAGCGAGAGATCCGAATAAGCAAACGATTAAAAATTATCCTTTTCTTTATACGACGATATCTCGGCAATCGAAAGTCATATCGAGATAAACGAGAAAGCGTTTTAAAGGATAAGATTTTATGTTTTTAATGATCGTTTATTCGTTGACCAGACTATTCTCGAAGTTATAACGATTCAAAGTTTTTCTAAATTTAGTAAGATTTAAATAGGATGAAAAATTATCACGATATTTTGAGAACCGGAAATTGTGATAAAATGTGTATCGTGATAAAGTTCTGCGCTTTTGAAGCTATAGCAATTCAATCTTTTTTTCTAATTTTTAGACGATTTAATTAAATCATATCTATAAATTTATTTATTGTTGTAATTTGTATATTATTTACAACAATTTTATCATGTATTATATTTGATTGTAACTACGTCATTATATATATATATGTTACAGTAAATTCTGTGGTAGATTATTATAAATTGAGCCCAAAGGATTAGAAACGATAATTCCACAAAATACATAGGTGTTATCTACTAGTTTCAGATAGTATACTATTCCTATTTAAGCCAATTCTGTTAAATGACGTATAATACATCCGTTTCATGTTAACTGTATAAATCTGAAATTTAATGTAAATAATATGAAAATAATAATAATAAAATGTTTAATAAAGGCATTTACAATTGTCAATTATAAAATGGGATAATATCTTTCAAAAAAACGTTATCTACGTTTCACGTAGATAAAGTATTTACAGAGTTAAACTGCTAAAAATAGATTCCACATGAAATATCGAGTTATATTTATAAATTAAGCGGAATTAAACTCAATTGTTTCCAATCGACTATATTTATCGAACGAATTACGCGTTATAACGTCGAGAACGAGGTGAAGGGGGACACGATATTTGTTTAAACTTTTCTCATTTCTTTCTCTAAAAACTAAATCCACCCGGAAAACGAATTTATCGTATCGAACACCCTGTATATTTTTCTATTTGTCCATTAACGCATACCAGCGCATCGAAATTGATTCGATGCGATCAGTGGACAACCATCTGCCATTCCGCAATAATTCGATGAACGTGGTAGTGGTTTTACATACAGTTTAACCTGGAAATGCTACTATTCGTGCAAGATGGGAACAAAAACTGATGTACAAAAGCCGTAAAAATTTATTTTCCCTTTTTTCTTTTTGTTTTTTGTCTATCGATCGCGATGTATATCAAATTCTTTGTCGTGTAAACGTCCACGTGAAAAAAAAAGTCTTCCATATCGTTTTCGAAATCCCATTTCGAAAATCTCGTTCCCGGATGCAAAAAAATTTATCATGTGAAACGTGAACATGAAAAAGAACCGCGATTGTTATCGCTATCGTTCCGAGTCGACGATTAAAATAAAATTTAATTCGATAATCGCGATTGATAAAAAGACGTTTTTATCGTTAATTTTGATCGACGACACGGAAAACGTTTTATCGTTAATGATTGAGAATAGATATTTAATTTTTAACGCGTGTTTAATCGTTTACGAGATCGATAATGCTTAGATGCTGTTGGAAAAATTAATCATTTAAAACGTTTCGTTTCGATGCTCGAAGAAATTAATGGTTATATAATAATGGTTTTATAATAATAATGATCAATCGCCAATTATTCTGGGAATAGATAAAAATTTGCGTGTCATTGAAATTTCTATTATTGATATTATTTCCATTATTGGAATACACATTTTTATCATTAACGATTGCTTCATCATATCGATCTATATCCAACTGATTATCCAACCCGTGTGTGAAAATTGCCCCGTGTATTTCGGCTAATACCACGATATTACCACGTTTCGAATCGCGCCACAAATTTCCAATAATCGTTGGATACGATTCCACGTCAAATTGTGAATAGACACATCAGCTGTATAGGAGGTCGAGAAGTTACGAGATTCGTACGAGATCATCACGACGAGATGAGTTTTTCGAAGATATTCCCTTGCGAAAAATTTTTATCACCAATCGTCGAAATTAATAATAATTGTATTAGACGTGTTGCAATTTTATAATATCTATGTCCTATGTGACACACGGGTGATTACATTTCCTTGAAAATCCAGACGATCGAATAAGATGATTACAATCCAGAGAGTTAATAATTGATTGCCCTCACGGTCGATGCACTCGCCGGAAAATATAGATAATCGATCGAACTGTCTAACATAATAAAATGTCTGGATATTAGATATTAGATACTGTCAGTCGATCACATCGAATTATGCTGCAATAATGCGAATTATATAATGTAAATATATAGTGTTATAACGTGAGCAAATGAACCATACATAATGTTTTAGCTAGAAAGAATATCGTTGTTTATCGCGACACGAAAAATGTTTATGATACAATTTGAACGTAGATTAGATAATATTTGATAGAGAATATTCTGAAAAATAAATTTTTTGTCGGATTATTTTTTTTTTACTTTTAAGATATTTCTCTGTATTACACATAATGTATATTCGACGAAAGAAAATGATAAAGATGATGATTTAAAATATATGAGTAATATAGAAGAAAATAAGGAAATATATTTATATGAAAATAGGAATGATATAAATCACATTGTTCTCGTTTCGAGAAATTATAGAATATGTATATGTATTTTTAGAAAATATTGGATTAGTTTTAGATAGATAAATTGAAGAGATAAGAAATTAAATTAAAAAGAAAAAATTAATGAAATACTTTCTAAATATATATCTGAAATATCAAATTATTTCAATATCGATTCCATCGAGATGGAATGGTTCGATTTCTTCGAAAAGTTAACACAAATGATATTCGTATTTTTAAAAGTATTAGAAATTTGTGTATCGAAGATATGTGTAAAAAGTGGAATCAATTGGATTTCACTTCTGAAAGATTCAAATAAAAATGAAGATACGTTGATAAAAGATAAAAAAATAGCATAGAGATTAATTGACCATCTCGATTTTGATAATATATCCTTCACTGATCGCCTCTCTCTCTCAGCATTTTTGGTTTTTGTACTCTTACTTTGGTTAGTAATCAATACACTGTCCGCATGCGTCTAGACCTGTTTACTCTCTTCGGTGCTGTTACGATGCATTGAAATTTTTATTCTAGGCAATTGATATAGAAAATGTTCACTTACATTTCTCTCACATGATTCTCTCTTTAATATCTATGTTCTTAAATATAGTTAAAGAAAAAAAAAAAAACATTTCAATACATTATTATATTCTAACAATAATAATTGTAATCAGAATTGTTAAAAAATTAACAGGATATACAAATGTATAATATTTGTAAAAAAAAAAAAGGAATTGTCGAAAGTACAATTGATTTTATTTTTCAGCAATAAATTTCGAAATTTAAAATTTTTATTTCAAAGCTAACAAATAAATTGATGAATTTAAAGTTTGGAATTTGTAAATGCAAATTTTTGAAAAAAAAAAATAAACAAACGAACATCTCTCGTATGAAAAAATATTATTTTTTCTTTTCGATTTCGTTTTATTGCGAAATTATTATTCTTTCCTACATATATACGTATAATTTATATTTTTATAATTTAAATTGTGAAAACTTTTCAAAACTTTCCACTTTTTTGTTGATTAAATTCGAGATTCTACACTTTGATATATGTGCTCGTGATATAATTATCAGAAACTAACATAGTCCTCAAGTCGGAACCTAACTTTCACTTCATTTGTGAGGGGTGACTCACATGGGCTTTCCCCGCAAAGTGTATTTCGAAGAAACGTGTTAAACAGTTTATGGCAATGCGAATATTTTTTGATGATTGAAACGAGATATTCGAATTTGATTATTGCAAAATATTACATTTACATCACATTTCAAAATTCATATTTTAACTTGTTTCTACATGATAATGAAATGTTATAAATAATATTTTAATTTACTATTTATATTTTATTTATCTTACATTTTAATTTATTATTTAAACTGTTATATTTTTAAGAAAAAATTCTTTATACGCGTTTAAGAATACTTATACACGACTATGACTGAATTTTTTATATTTTTAAAAAAATAAATTATATGTACTATTAAATTCCAATTGT